ATGATTCAGGAATGAAACATCACTGTGTTGAACGGAGACGCAACGATTGACAAAATAGAGCAAAACAGGCCATATTGACAATATCGTGTATAAAATGTATGTCACTTAATCTTAACTTAAACATAATATTAACATTTTTATTTATTTGTTATATACTATTGTCTTAAGAATAATATATTTACCTAAAAAGGAGGATAAATGAGCGTTGGGCTCAAGCCTGTGCCAGCAGACCGAGTATTTCAAAACCGGACTAATGGCTACGCTACATTCAATACAAAAAGCACCAATAAAGGCAGTTCAGTTTAATTAAAATGCACTATTTGTGTGCTTTTGTTAATTAGAGCATCATCTCATTAGCTTAATAACATGTTAAGGATTCATAGATGAACCAAAAATGAAAGAGAGGTTTTATGGTCAGGTGGCTCATGTGCTCATCAGTGATGCTGCGCACAGACAGGAGCGTTTCATAGTGTCATTAATATTTCAGCAGACTCAGACACGAGTCATTTGCATGTAAGAGTCTCTGTGGACGGACTGTGTGGAAAGTCTCAAAGCTTTCTACATGTTGTCAGCTCTGCTTTAGCACAACACTCGTGGAGAGAAACACGGTCTCCTCGACTCTCACTGCTTCTGTGTTTAGACTTGTTCTCATGGCACTGAATAAATGATTCAGTCCAAAATAAGATTTACTGGGTATTAAAGACATGCTCCAGGATCAATACAAAGTAAACTCTACTGACAGCTGCTGATCACCACAGAAAATGATTTTAACTATAGCCCTCAGTTTAGACTTTGTGGTTACGTTTAGGCCCCACTACTAAAATTATCATATAGATAACATTACAGCTCAGATAATACATTTATGCATGGGGAAAATAAATAAATAAACAAATAAAAGATCAAATAAAAAAAAGCCTAAGTGCATTAATAAAAACCAGGGTTGTGCACCATTTACAATGAACTAATTTCCTAAATTCTATATATGAGCAATATCACAAGAGTAGCAGTGTGATATGGCTGTATAAAGCATTAGTTTGAATGTCCGCTGAGGAAAGCGATATCTTTGTCATACTATCTTTCATCTGTTAAGGGTGATTTCTGACGACAGCGCTGCTCAGTGTGTTTGTTAACTGCGTCTTACAAGCTGTTGCTAAAAGTAAAAATAACTTTCTGATTTACAACCCTGTTTCAGTCTCTTTCAATATAAAAGTCTTTACTGCGGACTCACTCAGAAAAACAGTTGCCATCTAATGGCGGAATAATGAAATTAAAATCACCATCACGAACACACACACTGTTTCCCAATATTAAGTACTATTATTAAATACTACTGTTTATATAAAATATTATTTATTGAATAATCATATTTAATAAACAACAACAACAGCCATCATAAAGGTTGCTAGGCAATTCAGTCAAAACCACAAAGGCAGCGCTCTGATAAACAGCATTAAAGTTATATAAAATATAATGTTATGAGACTTTGCCCTCAGCCAAAACTATTTGCTCTGGAACAAAAAATAGATTAATGAGACCAAAGACTGCCCGTGAGTTTTACCCAAAACGAATTATATCTCACGTTTAACCACTACAGAGACATCAGAGCCAGCACTGATTTCCAGAAGATCTGGCCGAGGTGAGGCTGCTCTCGGTGGGTTCATGAGCGCTGAACGGCCGCTGACGCCCTGGAGCTCATTTTCAAATAGACATTATCTTTATTAACAAACTGCATATTTGAAGTCTAAACAAGTACATTCTTGCCTAAAATACTCTTAAAACTACATTCCGTGACACAAAAGTAGTTGTATTTATAAAATTATAGTGGATTTGGGCGTCCGCTGTGAGAAATACAGGAAGCGGAGTGATACAAACGGTGAAAGGGTTGGAGTGCTGTTATCACTAGAATATCGCACTGCTGGAAAAGGCTCTCAGCCAATCAGATTCCAGAACCAGAAAGAACTGCTGTGTGTATATATATATATATATTTTTTTCACTGTATTAATTTCATTTATTCATTCATTGCTTTTTATTCAATGCATTAATTTTATTTATCTAATTTATTTGTTTATTCATATATTGGATTTATTTATTCAATGCAATTTTATTTAGATTTATTTACTAATTTATGTAATGCATAATTTAAATTATTAATATATTCATTTATTTAATGTATTAATTTAATTCATTAATTCATTTTATTCCTTCTTTGTTTTTGTTTATCTTTGACAAGGTTGAAAGAAATATTGGTGTTAAATTTCTTTTAATTGAAATTCAGTAAATTGAAATTCACATTTATGAGCAGAAATGGAGGCAATTTAAATTACATTACATTAAGGCAATTTACAGCTCAAATCACACACACGCGTGTGCATAAATACACAATGAGCTTGAGTAGACTGAGTTCCTGAACGTCACAAATCACAGGATCTGCTCTAAAACACACAAACCTGCTGATCCCTCAGCGGACGTCTCTCCTGCACTCACTGCACTAGACCTTCACATCAGTGTGTCCTGAACTCTCCGTGAGTCCCGACTGAGCTGATGAGAGGCGACCGCTCTAAAGGTGAGGGAGTCACGTCACGCTCACATTGGCTTTGTGAAATCTCAGCCGGAGCAGTGCAGTCAGAGGAGCTTCAGACGCCACAGAGAGACATGAGCATCAGCCCACATTAACTCCAGCTGCGGCGGGGAAAAGGTTAGCGTGAAGGACTGACAGAGACAGCACACGTGTGAAGAGGTCAGAAGTCACGTGAGAGAAATCACACGTCAGCAGGAGCGACTGACCTCACAAACCTGACAAAGACACATGAGACCTGACTCTGGGAAGAGCGGCTTTATTATTATTATTGACCTTCATGCTGCTTTCACTGGCAGGAAGTGATGCAGGGAATAAAAGATAATCATAAAATAAAAGTTAACTAAAAGAAAATATAAAAACGTGTTGACTTCTTTTTCAGCTAACTAGCAAAAAACATTTCTCATTTTCATTTAGTTTAACTTTATGTACTAACTAAAACTGAAATTAAAATTAATAAAAACTACATAGACATGTTTAAAAAACAGTAAGAGATTTGTTTGATGACAAACTTAAGCTTGAATTTTAGTAACATTTTAACACATTGTTAGCATGTTTTTAGCATGTTTTAACACATTGCTAAACTGATGTTTTGCCAAAAGCCCCTGATCTTTTTGAAGATAGACCATTCACTTCACAAATAAAATATGTTTTACAAATGTTAATTTGTTCTCCAAGTACTAAATCCATCTGTCTGTGAGGAAAAGCAGTCTGCGCTGCTGGCTGTGGTAGTTTACCGCTTACCTTACGTGTACTTACAGCATCACTAACAGTCTTTTGTATCGTAATTTCTGTGTTGCAAACATTCAAATCACAGAAGTACTGGGACAAAAGTTTATAGTTCAGATTAAAAAACTGTTGTCTACCGTAGCGATCAAATAGATTAAATCACCTTTTCATGGTGACTTGACGCTCCAAATAAAGATCGTATCAATTACAACATAACGCCAGCAGGTGGCGACAAGTGACTTAAAAAAGAGATTTGTTAAAAAACAGAGCTAAGTCCCTTATTTCTCTAAACCCTAGCAACGCCCCTGTTGATCACATATTTCCAGAATGATTTAACACATTGCTAGCATGTTTTAACCAGATGCTAACAAGTTTTCACATGTTGCTAACATGTTTCTAGTATTTAACACTTTGCTAGCATGCTTCTAGTATGTTCTTAGCACATTGCTAAGAAGAGTTATCATGTTGCTAACACATTTCCAGCATGATTTAACATTGCTAACATGATTTAACACATTGCTAGCACGTTTTAACAAGATGCTAGCATGTTTTAGCACTTTGCTAACATGTTGCTAGCATGTTTTCACATGTTGCTAACATGTTTCTAGTATTTAACACTTTTCCTAGTATGTTTTAGCACATTGCTAAGAAGAGTTATCATGTTGCAAAACATTGTCAGCATGTTTTAACAAGTCTCTAATGTTTTAGCAAATTGCTAACATGTTTTAGCATGTTTATAACTAGATTTAACTAATTGCTAACACCTTTAAACGTGCTGCTAGAATGATGTAGCAATGAAAACTTTTTTTTTATTATTTATTTCAGCTAGTGCACAACGAAACATTTCTCATTTTCAATTAGTTTAACTTGATATACTACCTAAAACTAAAACTGAAATAAAAATGAATAAAAACTATACAGACTACATACTCTAGACTATATAGACTTCGCAGTGATCCTAAAATAACACTGATATTTACCCATGTAAACAAATACACATGTATGTAAATACACAAAAGTCAATTGTACCGTTTTGGAACGACATGAGGTTTTCTCTTTTTTTTGGTGAAATATTACTTTGAAACATATGTATAATTGCGTAAACTAACTGAATGTGTGTGTGTGTGTGTATAAGAGCTCACTGTTAGTGACTGTAGAATAATCTGTGTGTGTGTGGCATGTTTTAACAAGTCTCTGTTTTAGCAAATTGCTAACATGTTTTAGCATGTTTATAACTAGATTTAACTCATTGCTAACACCTTTAAACGTGCTGCTAGAATGATGTAGCAATGAAAACTTTTTTTAAATTATTTATTTCAGCTAGTGCACAACGAAACATTTCTCATTTTCAATTAGTTTAACTTGATATACTACCTAAAACTAAAACTGAAATAAAAATGAATAAAAACTATACAGACTACATACTCTAGACTATATAGACTTCGCAGTGATCCTAAAATAACACTGATATTTACCCATGTAAACAAATACACATGTATGTAAATACACAAAAGTCAATTGTACCGTTTTGGAACGACATGAGGTTTTCTCTTTTTTTTGGTGAAATATTACTTTGAAACATATGTATAATTGCGTAAACTAACTGAATGTGTGTGTGTGTGTGTATAAGAGCTCACTGTTAGTGACTGTAGAATAATCTGTGTGTGTGTGTGTGTGAGACGGTGAGCTTCTTACTTGAGCGAGAGCGAGAAGTCGTTCTTACTGGTCTCACTGTTTCTCACCAGGTAACTGGCCTCTTTACACAAGCGCAGCAGAGACTCGGCGTCCGTTCGGCTGATGGCTCCGTGATACCAGCTGTGAAGCAAACAGAACGAGAGACGCGAGTGAAGAAGAGCGCCAGAGCCGTTATGAAGCGTCTGCCGTATGTTTGACTCACAACTGGCTCTCCAGAGGCATGGACGGGTCGATGCGCTCGCCCACGCTCGGCCCGCTGGGCTCCACAGAGCTCATCTTAGTGCTGACCAGACAGCTGCTTGAGTGCCGCTGCAGAGGACGACACTTCAGGTCCTTAGTGGGAGACATGTGGGACTTCTCCACGCCGTCAAACTGCACTGTAACAGGAGAAGCACAGCACATGTTAGAAGTACACTACTGATGACATGTCTCACACATAGCTTTCAACCCGAAAACTGATTTCCGTCTCTTTTCTCATATAATAAAATTATTTGAGCTTGAAACAATATTTAATGTCCATTATTTAGTAGCCATTTTTTAAAGCTGAATATTGTCAAGTTATTACAAAATATTATAAAAATAAATGAAGTTATTCTAATAATTTTTTTATATTTTTCTTAAACATTTTTTTTAATAATTATGTTATTCTAAATATTTTAAATCATTATATTAAATTATATTTAATCAAAATATTTTTTATTGTATATTGTATTAATTGTATAAATATACTTTAACAAATTCACTTTAAAAATAAAGTTTAACCCCCAAAAAAATTACAAATAAAAATGCTTTTGTTTTTGTAACTATTTCTGTAATTGCAATGATTACAGTGGGTGTAGAAAAGAATCAGCCTCCTTTAAAACAATCACATTTTGTTGCTTTGCAGCCTGAAATGAAGACAGTTTTTGTTTTATCCAGCTGTATTTACTCAGTGCAACTTTTAACATCCAAGTGAAAGATCAAACACCAACATGACAGAAAAAAAAATAAATAAATCACTGAGATGGAGTTGCAATAACTGTATAATTATACTGTAACATGACACCTTAAATGCAACCCTTTTTTGCATTTTTGCATTTTTTTAAATATTATTTTTATTTAATTTTGCATTTCTAACCATTTCTGTAATTGTAATAATCCGGTTGGAGGTCGTCCTTGTGTTAATAAAAAATGATAATAAAAAAGGAACATGTTCAAATGAAATCCACAAGTGACCTGTAATTCCTCGAGCATGTCACTGCTCTCCAGAAATAGTTTTTGAAGAAAATTCCCAGCATGACCTTGTAAGACTAGGAGTCCATACATTGAGCTTTGTGTTTTATTGAGCAGAAACTCCCTGCAGGCCGTAACTCAATCCAATGAAGTCTATGTGAGCGCCGGAGGGATTGAAGCTCATCCTGCATGTAACGAGAGGAGCTGTGGACGAGCGAGACGCTTCATAAAACAACTGGATGAGGAACGATCAGGGCTCAGACAGGGAGCTGCTCACCGGTGATCGAAAATGCACACAAACCCAATACACAGAAAACACAATATACAATAAACCGCTGCTGTTTCACATCACCGTACAAACACTGCAGCTTCAGCTGGACCGCAAAGTCATTTAATTATTCATTCAATTTTTTTTTATGCAACATTTGGGCATTTTGACATGTCAGTCAATAACCACGTCTGACTTATCCATAGATAATCTACATGAGATTTATATACTGAGTAGTGAAATATAAATATAAAAATTACTATATATATATATATAGAGAGAGAGAGAGAGAGAGACAGAGAGACAGAGAGAGAGAGATAACTATATAAAAATATTAAAAATAAAAATATATTATAAATAAATGAAAACTATCATTTAAATTACTTTGACAATTTATTACATTTTTCAAAAATTTAAAATTCAAATATTCAAAAATATTGGGGTCCTGATCAAGAGTCTATTTTGTGAGAATAACCAGCTGACTGTACATTATCCCTTACTTATGTTAACTTTACTGTGAAATTGAGTAGTGAATTATTGTAACTATATTATATAATAATCAATATATAATATAATACAATTAATAAATAATAAAACAATCAATTAAATCAAATTAATATTAATTAAATTGTAATATTAAAATTAATAACATGTTAACATAAATCAGTTAATAAAAATGTATTAATAAATTAATAATAACAATTAATAAAATGAATAAATGGTAATATATTATGAAATACTAAATATTATATAGCCGCTGAAAAGAAAGAAAGAAAGAAAGAAAGAAAGAGAAAGATGGCATTTTGGAATATGGAAACCTTACATCAGCAGATTGACGAGATCAGCATAATCAATCACTGATGCCTTAAAAACCATTCCACAGAAGAGTTTATTTGATCTGTGTCTATAAACAGGTTTTGATTTACAAAAGAAGAAAGTAAGTCGGGCCCAGACTATCAGTCCCACATGAGATACAGAGGTCACAGAGGTCACGGGGGTCACAGAGGTCACAGGATGTAGTTGTAGTGAGAGAGCTCATGTTTCTGATGGATGTGATGGATGCCTCGAGCGTCAGTAACAGATGAGTGTCAGATTTACACCACATACTTATGTACACAGATTCTCACATACACTCACAGAAGCATACAAACAAACACACACGGACACACACACACACATCAGAGCTGCTTCAGCATTATTGCATGATCATAATGCTAATTTTCCCTGCTAATATTCAATCACATACTGTTTTATTAGTTTGAATGTTTTTAATGCTCATTGTCATGCCTTCGTTGCATCCTGATTATACATATGTATGCAGCATAACCTGATGTCATTTGATTGAGTGAATGTGCTTACATAAGCTTAGCTGACATTACAACAGTACCATGTTACTGCTTTGTGATCATGTACTGTGATACAGCCATGATTTTACTGGACAAATGATAGTACTGTGTTATTTTTCCTGTCATGTAAATGTCATCATATGAATATGGTGAAGATTCATTGCCGTGGTATACAGTGGCCTCAAAAGGTGGTTGGGCAGCTGTGCCTTCACAGGATATGATAAAATATCAAACCAAGTGACAAATTATATTTAGACTACCGTTCAAAAGTTTTGTGGTTGGTAAGATGTTTTTGACAGAAGTCTCGCCTGCTCACCAGGGCTGCATTTATTTGATCAAAAATACAGTAAAATAGTGAAATATTTTTATAATTTAAAACAGCTGTTTTCTATGTGAATATATATTAAGCTGTAATTTATTTCTATGATGCGCAGCTGTATTTTCAGCATCATTACTCCAGTCTTCAGTGTCACATGATCTTCAGAAATCATTCTAATATGCTGATTTGCTGCTCAAGAAACATTTCTGATTATTATCAATGTTGAACACAGTTGTGCTGCACAATATTTTTGTGGAAACTGTGATACATTGTATTTTTCAGGATTCACAGATGAACAGAAAGTTCAAAAGAACAGCATTTATTTGAAATAGAAATCTTCTGTAACATTATAAATGTCTTTACTGTCACTTTTGATCAATTTAATGCATCCTTGATGAAAAAAAGTATTAATTTCTTTTAAAAAGAGTAAACATTTTACTGACCCCAAACTGCTAACATGTTGATAATAATTGTGATGAACTATGACTTCACACAGTCCTGTTTGTACGCATTATCTGAGCACTTGTAAAATGCATGAAAGGTAGTTTTTCTAAAGCTGGAGTATTTAGTGAGGAGCTGCTGCTTCAGTCAGGCTGTGGTGTTGTGATCACACCGTGTTGATAGTCATACTGGCCTCTAGTGGCTCTCACGTCCAGCATATTAATATAGACTTATACTTGCATATCATTTTAACATCTAAAATCTTGATGTTGATTTGAAAGAAAGAAAGAAAGAAAGAAAGAAAGAGAAAGAAATCGATGACATTAATAGTTTTGTTTACCCATAAATCTTTGCTCAGCACACTGTGAGGCTGTGAACTGCTACATATGCTGAGTGTTTTACTGTAATAAGCTCTGATACGAGAGACTCTGTTTAATTGATCGTTGATGCTGTAAAGAGCCTGTGAGTCAGAGATCAGACTGTCCTTTCACTCTAATTACACTCTTACAGTGAGACTGAGAGATACAGAGTCATGAGAGAACACACACACACACACACACACACACTTCCTCTAATGTCCTCATCAACATTTCCCCAACACAGTCTGCTCTCTCAGTCTCTCTGTCTTTGTAGTGTGCTGTTCTTTGAGTGTGTGTGTGTGTGTGTGTGTGTGCGTGAATCTGTGTGTGTGTGAGTGTGTCTGTGTGTGTGTGTGTGTGTGTGTGTGTGTGTGTGAAAGTGTGTGTGAGTGAGTGTTTGCATATTGCATGAGATGGAATGCCATAATTTTTGTTTACTGTTGGCATACACTGTAAATCGGTGGAGAAACGATCTGTTACCATGGAAACCTGCCATGCAAAGGTGCTTGGTGCCTCTCGAGCCGATCATAACCGTCAAATGACAATCTGACGTTCTTCAGGAGCCGAGAAGAGTGTGTTAGAGAAAGATGAAAGAGAAACGCTTCACACACACACACACACACACACACACACAGGTGAAGCGGAGGATGGCGTGAACCTACAGATTTGTGGTCATAACGTGACCTGGCCGTGACCCTCGCATGACCTCAGCGTCTGCCTCCAAGCCAGCAGAACACGACTGTAACCGTGACGACGGCACGTCCAATCAGCATTGAGTCATGAATCTGACATCAACGAGCACACAGACTCTCCTCTGACCTTTTCATGTCTAATAGACCGAACACTGAAGCGCTTCACCTGCACTGACTGCCGGAGCCGTTTCTCCTTTCCTAAACGTTCATCTCTCAGAGCAGTTTCTCTGTGCCCTTTCGCTCTCCTTCAGAATCACTTACGACGCAATGCACTGAAAACATACAAAGCCGCTTGTCAAACTGAACTAAGCGCTGTGTTTCTGTACAGTGACGGCCTCTGCTGTGGTTTAAAGCAGCCGTTCACACACACATTTACAGTGAGACAAAGCATCTGAAAGCCATTTTCAATGAGAGCTGGTAATTCTATATATATATATGTACTATTTTTAGATTATAATACTATTTTATTTATTATTTACGTATTTATTTACTTTTAGAAGTACATTATATTCTACAATAATATTATATCTGTGTCATAATTTCTTCAAGTTAAACCAATCTTTTATTTTGGCAGGTTGTTGTGAAGGGCTTTGAGTTTGACTATAGTTTTCTCAAATATTCACAAACAGTAGTCCATAGTGTGATGTGATGAAGTGTGCAGCCATACTGATTCACTGATTCACTGATTTATTGATTTATTCACCCACATTTTGCCAAATTCTGTGACATTCCACATTACGCATTAAATTCCATTTTTATGACTGATTCCATGATTCTCTCCCTCTTTTCTGCATTGCAGGAGCCCTAAAATTTTGAGAATATTCTTTCAATTATTTTCAAAAGTTATGGTCAGTTGTGCAGTTTATGATAACATTAATTCATGCAGCAGTTGGACGCTGATTATGACCAATAACACAGCCATAAATGCACTGTATGTGTGTTATTACAGAGGCAGGCAGACTCATCTCATCTCAGCTTTATAGAGGTACAGGAAGAACATCAGGGAAAGACATTTATAAGCTGAAAAGACCAAGATATTTATAACATGCATTACAAGTTTGTCACCTCTAAGCAATCTCCACAGCGCATTACACAAGAAACCTGAAGTAAACAAGACAATACACTTCCATTCTGAAACACTCAACGAGGGTTACTTCTGAACACGTCGACTAATTAAAGCTGCTAATTAATTCTCATTTACTAATTGACTAATGGAAGATCCGTCAGCGGGGAGAGGCGGGGTGCAGCCTGCAATTAAGATCTCCGCTCGGACTCAAACACACACAGACTCGAGAGAGGCGGGTAAAACCACGTCAGTCCTGATTGGCTGAGACCAGTAATAATCAGCTGGATTTGGTGCATGAAAAACATTCGTCTTTTGTTTCTTTCCTCCATTAAACCCCGGGAATACAGTCGACGTGTTTCACAAAGGCAGAGAAAAGCAGGCCTCGCGGGCTAAACCCCACAGTCACGCTCGCATAATGAAATCTACATCGCTTTTAATTCTATTATTTCACATTCTACAGAGACACGAGGCAGATACGAGCCCAGAAGAAAGGACCGGAAAGCAGCGACAATTAATTCAGACGCCAAAACAAAAGAAGCGCCGGCTTTTCTCGGTGCAAACAAAAGAGTTCGACGATATTTATATGCAAATTTAATTTCTGGCCCATCAAGTAGCTGCAAAAATTAAAATCTCATCAGATTGATGCGACAGGTTTTCAGGCGCTATATAGGAACAAATGACGAGATGGTCGACTAGTAGTGCAATAACCAGCTGGTTGATTAGTGAGGTTAACTGCTGCTTTTAGACCTAATTCTCAAATCATTTAGAGACACGACATAACTAAAAGTTAAAGGATATTTTGTCAAAAGACAAAAACTATGACTAAAATAATATCTTGAGTACAAATGCATAACCAAGCAAACCAGGTTTTAAACCAACCTCACCAGTGTTCGTTTATTAGTTTTTATATACTAGTATAGTATTTAATTAATATTTTGAATTAGCTTTCATTTTTAAATTTTCAGTTTTAATTAATTAAAAAAAAATTTTTTTCATTTTCGTTCTGTTTAAATATTAATATTTAGGCTTTTTTATGTCAGTTTTAGTTTTTATTTATTTCCAGTTAGTAGTTTTAGTGCTCCTTCTTAAACTTATTTCAGTTTCAAGATCTTCAAGATTCATCCAATATTTATATATTTAATGTCAGTTTTTGTTTTTATAAAAAAAATAGTTTATGTTTTTAAATATTAATATTTAGGTTTAATGTAATTTTTATTTCAATTGTAGTTTTATTTCAGTTGAAGTTTTTTATTTAAGTATTTAATTTAATATTTACATTTGACTTTATTTCAGTTTTAATTAAATGAACAAAAATGTTAATTTAAAGTTTTTAATATAGGTTTAATTTAATTTGCATTTCAAATGTAGTTTTAGCTCAGTTTTTATTTATTTTCAGTTAGTAGTTTTAGTGCTTCTACTTACGCTTATTTCCATGATTTTAGCTTTAGTTTAAAGTTTTTCATCTAATATTTACACTGTAAAAACGATAAGATCACTAAGTCATGGCAACTAATGTTTTTACATTACTTAAACTCATCAAAATAAGTTACATGAAATTCAACTTGTTTCTTTAACGTGAGCTTAGTTTAAATGACTTGTACAACCAAGTTGATTATATTTAAGACAGCAACCGTACGCTTTTATGTTGAAATAGGTGGAAACATCTTACAGTCTACATGTTATTTGCTTTCAGCTTTATTTAAACTAACACAAATGTTTTTAGTTTTAGTGTTTTTACTGTTCAGGTTATTGTAATTTCTAATTCAGTTGTAGTTTTAGTTCAGTTTAAATTCACATTTAATACATCTGATTTAATTCCAGCTTTATTTAAATGAACTAAACTGTTTTCTTTTGAATAGTTTTAGTGTTTTTAATAGTCTGGGGATCTGAATTTGAGCGAGGGCAGACAGCATCACTCGCATATCTCTGTGAAACGACCCTTTAACCTGTTTATTCCTGCGAGGAAGTGGAGCGACGGGATCGTTTTACGGCTAATCTCTGGAGGAAAGGATCAATCCAGGTTAGTTTACAGCCGCCCGACTGCTCAAATCCACACGCCTTCACTTCACCGACACCAGCGCGCTCACAGGCGACACGCAACACCACTTTCAAGCATTTTTTGGTTTTATGGCGGCACCCCGATGCAACACGTCTGAAATGGAAACGTGAATTCCCGTCATCTGATCGTGTAAAACCATATTCCTGAGGATCTGAACATCTGTAATCTCTACGGGACAATCGCTTTTCCACATTTCCCTGTCAAAGGACTGAAACGCAATCGGGAGCCTGGTGACTGTGTTACACGGAGAGGGTAAACTGTGAAGGGAAACACTGAACGTCTGAGCTGTTTCTGAGTGTCGGAGCTGGATCCGCAGACGCCGAGCTCCATAAAAGCCAGCGAGGTGTTTTCAGGAACGCTGGACTCAAGCCTCACTCATTTTCTGCTTCACTGGAAGCAAATGCTAAATTTGGACGGTAGCGCTAGAAAGAGGCTTAAATCTCACAGCAGCCCATTAACTTTATCTGAGCATATGTGCTTCATGAGTGCGAAAGCTCTTCAGCTGAACAGCACAATACAACCTCAACAGAGGAAGACTAACACACAGATGCCCGTTCAGATTATTCACCGCAATCTAGAGTAACAATAAAAAATAACATAATTAATAATAATAATAAAATAAAATAAAAAATACTAAGAAAACTATTTTAATATACTTATACAGGATTAATATACTTAATACTTAATGTACTAAACTGAATGAACATATTAATACACTTAAATGGTTAAATAAATAGTTAATAATAATAGTTAAATAAATAGTTAATTTTCTGGTTCAGAATAAAGCAAAAAATAAAAAAGTTTATATATATATATATATATATATATATATGAATGTCTTATATATTTCCAAGGCTTTTCCAATTGTTGCTGAGTACTGGACTGAGTACTTTCTAGCCAATTAAATATTAAAATAAATATAAAAAAAAAAAAAACAACAACAATAAAATATTAAATAAATATAAATATTAAAAAATCTGAGTTTTATATAACCATGAAAACTTTCTGAAGAAAAGACACAACAAATATTATTTAAATAGTAATAATTATAATCAGAATAAAAATTAAATAATTAATAAAAAAAAAAAAAGAGATTGTGAGAGTTTGAAACGAAAACAGAAAGGCACAGCTGTGAGATATAAAGTCACACTGTAAAATTGAAAGTGGCATTCTAAGACATAAAGTCAAATTTACAAGAAATCAAGCAGCAGTTATGAGAAATAATCTCACATTGTGAGATATGAAACTGCATTTCAAAATAGCCCAGAAGGCTCAACTGAACCTCTACAGGAGACACATGTGAGAATATTAGAGAAATGTTGTGATTAGTTATTTCTCCTGCAGGCTCTGAGATCTGCGTGTGAGAACTGAACTGAACTGAACTGAACTGGTCTGGGGTCTGGAGGGACGTGTGGAGCGAGGCCGAACCCACCGTGCTGGAGCTGGTCGCAGGCTGAGGCTGTGGCGCTGAGTCCCGGAGAAGACGGAGCCTCCACCGCCTCCATCAGAGGAGGACCGGTGTTGAGCTGCCCGACCGGAGGAGGCCACGGCAGATCCTTAATGACTTTAATCTCTACTGCAGACAGAACCAGAGACAGAGAGACAGAGAGACAGAGGGAGGGCAGGAGAGACGGAGAGAGGAGCGTCAGTGAAGGCAGGATCAGGTCAGACAGTCACAGACTGGAAACAGGAAACAGGAAACAGGAAGGAACCAGGAAACAAACAGCGATGGAGAGCATTCAGGATTCTGCCTGTCGAACACAAACACCTACAGACCTCAGGATTCACCCTAGAAAACCACTGCATCACTAATGATCAAACTCTGCTGTTTCACACACAATCTCCTGAGTGTTTTATCCAGTCAAAGCTCTTTCAGTGTAACTGTACAATCGTCCAGCTTCAACTGGAGCTTCTCGTGTCAGATCTTGACTGGTTTTGATCAAGTAAGCGTCAGAATAACTGCAGTAATATCTCCAGATGAACACTTACTGGACTGAAGCAGCTCAGCTTTACTTGATTCTCCATTCCCAAACCAAAAACCTGATTGCTAAAAAAACAAGGATGCACAATATTAAAAGTCTGGCTGATACCAACAATTATTTTTAATGTTATGGTCAATAACCACAACATGAACTGAGCTGAAAAGCATTAAACTGACTTGTTGAGACACTGCTGCTTTTTTAGAGCTGCTCTGAAGCAGAATATGAATATTGTCTCAAAAACAATAAAGTTTGCATCATCAATTCTGTTATCTTACTGCTTATCACTGTAAAGCTGCTTTGAAACAAACTGTATTGTATAAAGCGCTATAGAAATAAATGTGATATGATAACAAAAAAATGGCTGGAAATAAAATTATATAACATTTTGACTAAATCAATTAAAAACACTAAAAACATAAATCAGTCATTTTTAATGCCGCAAGCGAATTTAGGCATCTCAATATGATAATATACTATATGAAAAAATGCATATTCATTCTGAGGTTTGCTAAAGATTTAAAGATAAATATTTAAGTGTTTTTAAAGATTCATTTAAGTGAGTGATGAGGACAAAGGTGATCAAAATGTTGAAAAAAAAGAGAAAATGAGCACAAACAATTAAATATCCCAGATTGACTGATACTGATAAATTAAATATATATTTGGTAACACTTAAAGCCTTTATGTATAATGCATAATAAAGCTATTCATAATGTATTATATCTTTTCATAAATAATTGTACCCAAAGTGAACATGCATTATAATATTTGAAGGTCTGCTTGCCGTGTGTTTTAATGCATTATGCTTTCTAAAGGTGTAACAATGAATAGATAAGTGTTATAATGTATTATAACTGCGGTTACAATTATTCATGAGATTATACAATGCATTACAATGCATAATTAATGCATTAAAAATTATTTTATAATGCATTATATATAACGTTTTAAGTAAAGTGTTACCATATATTTTAACAAAATATTGTGCATTTCTATAAAAATAACACTGAAGGACAGAGATTACAGGAAATGGAACTATATCATGTCATTACCATGTTATGACTATGCTATTACCATGTTATTACCATGTTATCACTATGTTATTACCATGTTAGTTCAAGGTACTAAAAACCAAGCTACAGTTCGATTCTTCTTCAGCATAGCTTGACACGTGTCTATATTTGACTATTTTAACTTCAGTAGATAGAAATGTGGCTGTGGTGTCTATGCGCAAACACCTTTGTGATTATTAATACAAAATTAGAAATTAATTATCCTATATTGACTGATACTGGTAAATTAAAAATATATTTTACCAACATATCGTGCATCCCCATAAAGCACACAAAAACAACACTAAAGGACAGAAATTACAGGAAACGATACTATTATCATGTTATTATTACTGTGTTAGTACCATGTTATTACTGTGTTAGTACCATGTTATTAACATGGAAGTTCAAGGTACTTTAAAGAAAAGTATTGCATTCAATGTACTAAAAACCAAGCTACCGTTCGATTCTTCTTCAGCATAGCTTGACATGTGTCTATATTTGACTATATTTTAACTTCAGTAGACAGAAATGTGGCTGTGGTGTCTATGCGCGAACACCTTTGTGATTATTAATAAAAAATTAGAAATTAATTATCCTATACTGACTGATACTGGTAAATTAAAAATATATTTTACCAACATATCGTGCATCCCCATAAAGCACACAAAAACCACACTAAAGGACAGAAATTACAGGAAACGACACTATTATCATGTTATTACTGTGTTAGTGCCATGTTATTAACATGGAAGTTCAAGGTACTTTAAAGAAAAGTATTGCAAAACTATACTGCTAATGGCCAAGGTATTTCGAAGGAGTTACAGTTTGGTAATTCTTTTGTTAGCACATGTCTGTATTTGACTGTAATTTAACTTCAGCAGATGCGTGCATGAGTGTATTTGTGTTCAGTAATTCCTTCGCAACATTAGTCACTGTGTATTAGTGCAGCTTCTTGCATCTTGACTCTTCGCAGTGACCGGTTCTGTCCATGAACTAACTTTGCTGTGCAAACAGCACAGAGCGAGTCGGTGTACACTAGGAGTTAGAAATGAGACATCGCTGTCACTTAAGCCCCGAGCCGCATCTATTTATTAATGAAACAAGCAACAAATCCCTTCATTCTGCTCTCTGTGCATCGTCTCGCTGTCAGTGCGCTGACAGAAACAGCTCGATCCAAAACAAACAGTACACACAAACAAAAGCTCCTCCGGAGGACGGATGGATCTCTGAAATACAAAGCAAACACACTTGTGATTCATTTGGCTTGCTTTCAGCGCTTGACAGGCGAACCACCTGAGCTGTCTGCGCATCCAGAGTAGAGCTGGCGGTTTGTTGACTGTGCTGTCTCGTTTCACGAGCCGATAAACGCACTCGGTTATGAACTCGCCCTTGTTTTTGACTCCTGAGGGCTCTACGTGAGCAACTTCTAGATAAAGCATTAAGCAGGAATCTCGACTAGCACTCATGATATGATGGCGGTTGACAGAGTCGCTATTATCCGCCGGCGTTTGGCTGAACAGAGCCGATCTAGCGAGGTCAGCCTCTTTGACAGCTCATATAATAGTTTCCTCCGCGGCGGGTGAAGCGAAGGCCTGCCAGCAGCCTGATTAAACAGCTAATTCTCATTGGGTGCCGCAGATTAGTGTGTAATTGTTTTGGGAGAGCGGAGCTTCGCCTCTCTCTTCGCACCGGTCGCACGCATTCGCTGCCACCCAGATAAGATGCACTGTGTATATGGGCTCTTCCGCACTGAAGGTGAACTCAGTTGAGAGGCTGTAACGCTTCTTGTGTTAAGCCAAAAAGCTGTTTGCATGTTCAGGCATTCGGAGGAGTTCTTTGAAAGCGCTCGGTCCTGTCGGTAATGCGGCA